ATACATGCATATACATACATATATATTTTGTATAAAAAATTTTCAAGAGGATAGAATCCAGGTAGAGCTCAATGTCCAGGACAGAGCAAGGATATAATAAAAAGGCTTAAACACAAATATGGAATATTAGTGTTAAAGCCTTTTTATTATATATATATGTGTGTGTGTGTGTGTGTGTGTGTGTGTGTGTGTGTGTGTGTGTGTGTGTGTGTGTGTGTGTATATAACATTCATGTTTCCCATTCCTACAAAGGTGGTGGAATTATAATTATGGATAAAAACATTTATCTACAAAAAATGAAACACCTCCACAATGATGATAATATCTATGAAAAAATAAACAAACACAAGAACATAAAAGAGACACAAAAATTTTTAAATAAAACCAAGAAATTCTAAAAAATAAAGACAGTTCCTTGTTAGAACTCATTGAACATCACCCCAAAACATCCATATTCTATGGATTACCAAAAATACATAAACCAGATATTCTGATGAGACCCATTATATCAGGAATAATTAGCAAACCACATAAACTAACCAGTACATTTACCAAAATTTTAACCCCACTTCTTGCTCTTGCATATAAAAAAATCTGGTGATCTCTTATATAAATTAAAAAACACAGACATAAAAAATAAATATATGACTAGTCTAGATATAAAATCTTTATACACAAATCTTTCTGTAAAGAAATGTCTAAAAATTTGCTAATGTATATATATATATATATATATATATATATATATATAACATTCATATTTCCTCCTCCTACAAAGGCAGTGGAATTATAAACACATTTATCAGCACAAAGGTTAAAATTTTTTATATATATATATATATATATATATATATATATATGTAAGCAAATATATGGATATAGATCCGACAGTATGAAGATATATATATATATATATATATATATATATATATATATATATATATATATATATATATATATATATTTAAAATAATAGGAAAAGGAAAGAACAGTGATATTTATAATTGAGATCTGACAGTATGAGTATATATATATATATATATATATATATATATATATATATATATATATTTAAAATAATAGGAAAAGGAAAGAACAGTGATATTTATAATTCAGAGTTCTTAGCTTTTATTTCTATTTTCAAAAAATAGTGCTCAATACGATCCATAGAGCTTAAATTCAGATGATGTTTAAAAATAAGACAATATCTTAAATAACTGCCAAAAAAAAAGTAGATGTCAATGAATAGAAAACCTAAGTCCGCCACCTTAATTTGACCGAATTTACAATCATAATACATGGTGATACAAAAGTTAGCTTAGAACCTGACCACCCCTAAATAATAATAAAAATTAAACTACCTTTAACCCCACCAACAAAATATTAAGATTGTCTATGCTAATATTAAGTAAATCAATTTCTTAGAAAGTTATTCTTAAAATCGCTTTTGCCCCGAGTTGAGTGTTCCTTATGCCATGAATGTCGTCTTGCTCTGAAATGCCTCTTATGGGCGTCGGATAGCCTCTCGAATGTCCAGGCATTGCTCGAAGGGCATTATATCAGGTGTTAGTCAGGGGGTCTGTTCATGATGAGTTGATTGACGAGTTCGGTCTTACGAAGCAGGAGGCTCACTCAATATGGCCTTCGGCGCCTGGGTTGAAATGCCTCAATAACGAGGAGGCATCCCTCACCTGGCTGGTGATGCTCTGGGTTGCCAAGAGATTTTGCACAGTGGGCTTGGAGAAATCTAAAAACACTGCCAGCACTGTGATCAGGAGGTCGAAGCACTGGGTCATGCTTTCTTTCATTGCAGGGTGGTAGCACCGTTGCGTAAGTTTGTTGAAGGCCTCATGGTTTGCATGCTGCAGGGAAAGACCGCTTCTGTTTGTAGCAATGTTGCACTGCTGTTGATGAAAGCTGAACAATATCTGTTCTTTTGCTTGCTAGGGGTTATGAGAGTCGTGATTTGGTTGATATGTCAGAAGGGATTCTATGGAGGTGAGAAGTTCACTTCTTCCCAACTGATCTTGTTCTTTAAGCATAAGTTTAAAATCAAGATTAGGACAGAAAAGCAGTGACTCACTTCATCAGAATTTGGCAAAAAGTGGGTGAATCTTGTGCAATTGTGTAGAGTGAAAGGGGCTGACCTGGAGTGGAACTTTGATGCCAGTTAGGCATCAGGATTTTGTCCTTTCTGGGTTGAACAGAGGCAACCCATTCCAATATAAGGCTAGTTTAGGTTGGTTTTTGAATTTTTAGTTTTCTTTTTTCTGGTTAACTTAGCTAGGATATGTATGCTCATTGGCCCTTTTTATTTCTGTCTCTATTTTTCTTTAGTTTAATTCCCCATCCCCTCCCTCGTTAGGTGGTCAGTGATAACAGTTCTCTGGTAGATGTGGGATGCTTTTCGTTTCATGTCTATGTTTTTGTATTTCTTGTTGTGTCTGGATGAGTGCATATTTGTTTGAGTGCTTGGGATGAATGAATGTTTTTATACTATTTTTATACTATTATAATCCCGCATTTTCTTTCATCCAGTTAACTGGTTTTTCTGCTACATTTAAGGACTGCGGGGGGGGGGGGGGGGGTGGGTTTTATTACTAGCATTATTTTGTTCGGTTTTCATGTAAATAGAATTTATTCATGTTGTAAATACACATTGGAGTTTTTTAAATTGTTGTTTTATTCCCCTCCTCCCACAGACAAAGATATGTACATATGGGGACTAGTTAGGATTTCATAGAGACATTGAGGTATTATGGTGGATGCTGTAAAAAAGGTAGGTGAGAATGTGTTCTTTTGGTGTTAGGACTATTGTTTGTATGTCTGGGTCAGTGTTTTGTGGCTAGTTAAGTTTAGAAATTAAGACAGAAGAAGGCCGCCCATTTCCCAATCCCCTTTTTGGCCTTGTGCCACATATTGCACAGTGTACAATTAAATATCTATTCTTAAAATTGCTTGATAATGGAATGAAACTCTGTACTCTAGATTTAATTTTAAAATTAATCTAGATTTGGAGTTTCCCTTTTTGAAACATAGGATATTCTGTGTCGCGATCGAATCACATTTTTTTAAAATAATTATAATATATATATATATATATATATATATATATATATATATATATATGTGTGTATGTATGTATCAGTAACAAAGATTGTATAGGTATATGCATGTGTGTGTTTATAGGAAGTATAGAATTGAAAACAAAAGTGGAGATAATGGGATACAGTGAAAAAGTTTATAAATGACACATTTTGCCAATATATTTTGGGTTTATGTTGTTTATAAACTTTTCCACTTTGTGTGTGATCACACACACACACACACACACACATATATATATATATATATATATATATATATATATATATATGTATGTATGTATATAACATTCATATTTCCCACTCCTACAAAGGTGGTGGAATTATAATTATAGATAAACACATTTATCTACAAAAAATGAAACACCTCCTCAATGATGATAATATCTATGAAAAAATAAACAAATGCAAGATCATAAAAGAGACACAAACATTTTAAAATAAAACCAAGAAATTACTAAAAAATGAAGATAATTCCCTTTATATGCCTTTAATATGCCTTTAATATGCCTTTAATTCATTGAACACCTCACGAATACACCCACACTTTACAGATTACTAAAAATACATAAACTGGACATCCCACTCAAACCCATTATATCAGGAATAAACAGTACCTCACATAAATTAGCCAGCACACTAACCAACATTTTAACCTCACTTCTTCGTACAATTAGCTTCTTGCATATGAAAAATAATCTGGAGATCTTTTAAATAAATTTAAAAAACACAGGCAAACAAAAAAACAATCATGATTGCATTTTACTGTTACTGTTTTTTTTTCAAACCCTGTAGTGTAAACATAAACAATTTTCAGTTCTATTTAACCCTACCCACTATCATTTCTCAACATAGCTTCAGTCACTGTCAGTCATTCACTCATTCAGTTAATGCCATACATGATACACACTTGGGCGATCATGTATCTTTTCAATACATGACTGATGAGGCGGAAGATTTTTCCTGTAGTAAGTTAGCATTTCTTTCTGTGGTAGACTGATTGCTAACCAAAGCTAAAGGATCCAGTCTGTCCTGCTATTTAACCCATAGTTAGGGAGAAGAGATGGATTCATACCTTTCCCAAGGGTATTTGTGTGTAAGTGAATCTAATGAACTCAGCCTTCTCATTCTGCGCTGATATCCATTACACCACAATGCACATCCACATTATTAAGACACTCAATATTTATAGTGATATGGGTAAAAGAATTGATGGTGGTTTTCTAAGCATAGCTTAGATGTGGCACAAGGCTGAAAGTATGCGGCACCCAGTGAGGTCTGAACTCACTATTCAGTCATAACTGAGCTAGCAAGACAAGCTTGCTATTACACCACATCGAAGTGCTCTTTATTTTCCAGGCACAAGGCTGAAATTATGGGACACCCAGTGAGGATCAAATTCACTATTCAGTAGTAATTGATCTAGTGAGACAAAGAATTGATGATTAAACACTGAATTCTGTAAAACTATATTATAAAAGAAGAATTGATTGTCTGTCCGTCAGACACAGTCTGCGTGTGACTTTGCATGTGTGTATATAATGTAGATGCATATGCCTGTGTTATGTGTGACTGATTCACATGCACTTCTGCCATTTAATCTATACACAAGAACATACACACACAGACATACACACACAACTTGACTAAGTTTAAAATAAGTCATTGAAATAATACATTGCCTTCCTACTAAGTCTGGACAACCCCTATCCTGGGTCAAGCAATAAAATCATTAAGTTAATAATCAAAAGAAACGTTAATTTTCTAGAAAATCAGAAAAATGTAAGATTTTATTAAACTTTTGAAAATTATTTGGTATATTCAAAATCAAAGATTTTAGTTCAAATTCCAGTCAGGTTCATTGCATTCACTTAAATACAAATACTCTTTGAAAAGGTGTTGAAACACCAGCTCCCCTATGATCACCTAAGTTAAGCAGCATTGAGCCTAGTCAATACCTAGATGGGTGATCGCTTGGGAATACCAGGTGCTGTAAACTTGGATGTGTGGGCAGTGTAATGGATAATGGCTCAGAATTTTTAATTGGAGAGTTGAGTTCCAATTTTTGGGAAACTTATGAATCTACATCTTCTCCACCCAACTATGGGTTAATTAGTAAGACTTATATCACTAAATCATTATTATCTCCCCACAAATTATTACAATCTAAAAATATTTTCTGGCTTTAAATAACCTGCAAAGGGTTGATAAGCCGTAGAAAATGAATCAATCAATCTTTGGAAAGGTAAGAATTCATCTCTTCACACCCTATCACCACACCAGCTATGGGTAAATAGCAGGACAGACTTGGTTAGCAACCAGCAGTCAGGAACTGAGGTAAGTATTACTGATAATTTTTTTATTTATCTCAGCGGCGAGGGACATCAAAATCCGCAAAGACAAGGCCTGGAGTGTTCTTGATGGTCTGAGCACCACCAGGAAGTCCTCCCTTTCTGACAATCTTAAGAGGGACTTCTTTAAGGCCACGGTAGAATCTGTCTTGCTCTACAGCTCAACAACATGGACACTGACGAAACACCAAGAAGCATCACTTGACAGAACATACACAAGGATGTTACAAGTTGCATTGGACATCAGCTGGAAGAACCCCCCCCCCCCAAAGAAACACCTTCCTCCTATATCAGTTTTGCTAAGAGAGAGAAGGCTTCAGCTAGCTGGTCACTCCTGGAGATGTAAGTCAGAACTTGTGAGTGACACCCTCCTATGGAACCCATTGCGCGGCAAAAGATTGGTTGGAAAACCTCATCACACCTACATTGACCATCTTTAAATGCATTAAAATTTGGAACGATGGTTTTTTTTATTGCCGCCCTTTCATGGGTTTGGAGGCGGAAGATGGCGCCTCCCTTTGATCAGGAGAGATTGTCCTCAATCAGAGATTTTTCCTTGGTCGATTAAGAAGACGCTTTGTATTCTGGCTCCGTGGTCAACTAATTTAGTTTGCCACGTAAAGTAACGTGTTACCTCGAATATTCGACTTACAGTGTCGAATTATTTTCCTTAATAGAGTTAATATTTATTTAACTTTAAATGCTATATATCTAGTTTTATTTAGGGAGGGGAAGAAGGGAAAGAGGGTTTTCGTATCGAATGACTTTGAAAAAAAGATTTTATTAGCTTCGGTAGAATTCCGTAGCTGAGATTTGTTTGAATTTAGGAAACTTTGAAGAAAAGATTTTTTTATTTTGCTTCGATAGAATTCCGAAGCTAAAAGAAGTAATTTAATTCCCAAGAAGAGGATTAATTGCATTTGATTTGTTTGTTAACTCGGAGAGTCAACGTTTGTTTTTTTGTGGCAGAGTCGTTCGAGGCGGGAATTCGGTCCCAATTCTCATTCTTTACTTTAAAAGCCAGATTTTTAAATATTTTAAAAGATATTCATCTTGGAATCAGATTTTATTAGCCTAGGTTAGGAGTTGTATTTTCATTTCTCCCTTTCAGCCTCCCCCCCAAAAAAAAGGTGAAAAATAATTGTAAAGAAAAGAAGATAAGTGTATCTGAAGAAATTGACTGTTAAGAAAAGATTTTAAAACGAGTTTTTCATTGTAAAAGAAAAAGAAAAGGTTGAAAAAAGAAAAGATTATTTTAGTTGTCAGTTTAAAGAATTATACATTCTACTGACAAAATTAATGTAAGTAAATGTAAATCCCTTTGTTTATTATTGTTTTGTTACTGTTATATCTCGTGCAAGATATAATAAACAAAGTAACCCGAGTGTTGGTTTTCAATAATAGGTTTATAATCGGAGGTAGGTGTGTCAAGTACAGAGACAGAGTCGGGAGTATGCTAACCTCAATAGGTGTTAACAAACGAAGACCTTTCTGACTGTCCGCTGTGGTCGTACTTAATCGGCAACCAGTCCGTCCATTATCGTGAATGGGGAAGTTGGGTTATATCATCACAACACCTCCCCCCGAAGCTGAAATTCTCCTTTTGAAAATTTCTGTTTCTAATGTCGTCTTCTTTTGGATCCGGGCTAAAACGCTCCACTGGTTTTCTTTCCCGTGTGCTCCTTCTTTTAGTCGTCACAATTAGATCCTTTTTTGGCGAAGATAATTTCCGCTTTTCAGCCCGTAAGGCTGGTCCATGAGATACAGATTCATATACACTATTGGGTAGTGTCATGTCAAAAGCATCGCATAACACTTCCATCGGAATTTCTTCTTCTTTTTTTTTTCACTTTCTTCACCATATCGTGGTCTAATCTGATTGATGTGTCTTTTACACGTAAATTTTTTTACTTTTAATCGTGTAGACCACTTTACCAATCCTTTTCTGGATTATGCCATCCATCCAATAGCTTTTTCCACTTTTAAAATTAAAAAAAAAACTTTGTCTCCTGAAGTGTATTTTTTTATGTTGACTTTTTCCTCTTTCTTAGCAACTTTCTATCGAAAATTGATCTAATTTTCCTTGCGAACATAATTTCCGCCGGTGACATTTTCGCATCGTTGTTCTCATTAGGAGTTACCCTATAGATTGCTAAGAACTTCTGAATAGTTCTTTCTTCCGTGTCCATACTTTTATTTTTACGTAAAGCACGTTTAAAAGTGTCAACAAATTTCTCGGCTTGACCGTTCGACCTGGGATGATACACTGGTGTAGTTATGTGTTCAATGTCTAAGGCAGTACAGAAATCCTTAAACTCCATACTTGTGAACGCCGTACCATTGTCGCTAACCAATGTCCTGGGAACCCCGAAACGACTGAAAATTTCATCCAATGCACTGATGGTGTTCCTAGATGTAGGATGCTTGCACTTGACTACCTCAGGCCATTTTGATAAAGAGTCCACCAATATCAAATAATAGTGCCCGTCCAGCATAGTCTATATGTAGACGTGCCCACGGCAAATCCGTTTTCGGCCAAGGATTCATTTTGACCGGAGGTGCCCTTGCGGCCAATTGACAACCTCTACATAGTCTTACAAAACCTTCAATATCCTTGTCCATTCCTGGCCAGTATACGTAACCACGCATGAGTGATTTCATCCGAGACATTCCAGGATGACCGGTATAAAATTCTTTCAGCATATCTGTACGTAGAGATTGAGGTATAACAATTCTATCTGCGTACATCAACGTGTTGTCGCAAATTGAAAAAGGTGAAATCTGAGTTCCCTTTTTCTGTCTTTTGTTCCATCTCGTCTGGTTCCTTAATTTCACAATATAGTGATCTTTTTCCGCTTCTTTTTTTATTTGGTCCAAAGTTACCGGCAATTCCCTGATTGTATTCAACAAGAGACCTGATATTTCTTTTTCCTCAGTTAATGCTGCTATCACCGTCTCTTCTAACATTTCTTCATTTTTTGGAATCAGCCTTGACAATCCATCCGCATGCCCATGTTCTTTAGATTTGACGTATTCCATCCTAAAATGGTAATTAAGCAGGGTTACACCCCATCGCTGTAAGCGATTAGCTGTATGCGTAGGAATGCCTTTTTTACCTCCAAATATTGTAAGTAACGGTTTATGGTCCGTTTGAAGTACAATGATCTACCATGTAAAAAGTGATGGTATTTTTTAACCCCGAACACAATCGACAAAGCCTGTTTCTCGATCTGACTATAATTTTTTTCAGCCGGAAGAAGAGTCCTCGACGCGTGCGCGATCGGTTTAGTAGTGCCATCTTCATATTTGTGTAGCAGTGCAGCACCCACTCCGTACAAACTTGCGTCAGTTGCCAGAATGATCTCTTTCTCAGGATCATAATGTGCTAAGGCGAGATCTGAGAGTAGGCATTTTTCTATTTTCTGAAAAGCCGTTTCGCAATCTTTTGACCAAAACCATTTCTTGTCTTTTTTCAACAATTCGTTAAGGGGGGGGCTCTTAAATCATACATTTTAGGTATGTAGATTGCATAATATTGTGCCAACCCCAGAAACGATTGTAGTTTCGCAACTGTGTCGGGTGCAGGCATGTTCTTAATTGCATCGGCTCTCTTGTGGGTCCGGTTTCCTGCCTTCACTGTCTATCACCTGTCCGAGGTATGTTATTCTTTCCATGAAGAATTTACACTTCTCGTGGCTTAATTTAAAGCCAAAATCATCTAGTCTTTTGAATATCGCTCTGATATGCGTTTTATGTTCTTGAACATTCTTACTTTTGACTAGAATGTCATCTAAATAGGCGGTACCAATCTCAAGGCCTGCCAGCATAGTGTCCATCACCTGTTGGAACAAAGCTGGGGCGACCTTTAAGCCGAAAGGAAGCCCATTTAGCTTATAAATACCTTTATGTGTATTTATACACAAATATTTTGAGCATTCGTCATTCACTTTAATCTGCAAGTATGCGTCAGACAGGTCGATTTTGAAAAATCTTACCACCATTCAACTTTGAAAAATATCTTCTGGTGAAAGTAGTGGATAACTGTGATTTTTAAGGCAATCATTTAAACCTGTTGAAAAATCTGCGCACTCTTATTTTTCCGTTTTCTTCTTAACATAAACTGTGGGCGAGGCCCAATCCGCATTAATCAACCTTAGATATCACTCCCATTTTTTCAAGCCTTTCCAATTCCTTATTAATTGTGTCTAAGGAGGAAAAAGGAACGTTTTTCTTAGGTTTAAAATTGGTTTCACATTTTCCTTGAGTTCAAATTTGACTTCCGTCTTAGTACATAAACCCAATCCCTCAGAAAAACTCTGGGATATTCTTCTTTTAATTCATTCATGAATTTTTCATTTTAATACTTTTTGTTTTTCTGCACTGTTTATTACGTTGCAAAATGAGTTAATCGGGAGTTCAAACAAATCAAAGAGTACTATCCAGTCTATTCCAAAAAGACATGAATTAATCCCTTGGATTACATACACTTTTGTTTTTGCAGTCTTGCCACATAACGAAATATTGCACTTTAATTCTCCTTAAAGTTTAATTTCTTTCCTGAAACCCCTCTAGCGGTTTTTTTGGTTTCAGATAATTTGGGTCTTCAATATTTTTCCATGTTTGTTCTTCAATGATGCTTATGTCT